CAGGCTGCCAGCGCAGAGCTGTGGAGCAGAAGCCATGGTCAGTGCTGGCTGATCTCGTCGCAGTGGTCTCTAGCTGTGGCGTTCAGCTGCACTCCTACATTGATAAACAACTCGCTTCTCGTTGCTCCCTATATCAAACCTGTAGTATCCGATACTCAAGGCTGTATTGAGCAATACTTGCACTACCACCCGTGCGACCTGCTTCATCTCTCTGCCGCAAGGCAGCTCCAATTTGGGAGGATGCGCTGGGGGCTTTGCTGGGACGTCACGCATTTCCAAACAGGAGCTCTGCACTGTCTGCAGCTCGGCTCTTAAGCAGGAGCTGTGGGGAAACACACCTGGGACTGCTCGTCCTCCTCGAGCTGGCTCGCGGCAGGGTAACTGCTGAGCTCGGATTCTGGGAAATGCGGAGTTAAGCCCGGCTGTCGCCCCTCGGTGCAGCCAGAGTCCAGCCTGCCCTCGCTGCTTCTGCCCGTAGTGGTGGCAGAAATCAGAGTGAGTCCGAGTGCCGCTGGTGGTTCGGGAGCTGGATTACTCTTCGCTCAGTATTTCTCTGCTCCTGTGCAGTAAGGATCCCCGTATCGGCACTTTAAGACTTCTTCCTCATCCTCACTGTGGTACCTCACTAGTTTCCAATCTCAGCAGACTTACAACAAGTTACGATCTTCTCACTAACAGCTCCCGTGACGAATCTTGGCACATGTGTTCGTGGGCTTGCACCGCACTGTTCCACTGTCCAGCCGTCCTGCCTTCCGCCGCGAGCAGGGCCGGGGTCTCGCAGCTGCTGTGCAATACTCACCAGGCCTCCCGCACCAATCCTGCTAGACCCAGTGGTGCCGCACGTGGCCCTCGCCTGCTTTCCTCACTGCTGCCGGCATGCCCCCGCCTCCCGCACTCCCGCTCCCTCCTCTCTCTCTCTCTCTCTCTCTCTCTATTCTGGCTGTCAGGGAGAGGAGGTTTGGAGCCTGACCGAGAATTCATCAGAGCAGAGCTCTCCCCGGGCCTCGCTTCTCTCACTCCTCTGCTTCCCTGCGTTGGGAGACGGACCGCCAGCCCCTGCTCTGCTCTCCATGAGCAGCTCCCACCCCAGGAGGGTCAGCCATAGGAGTAGGCGATATTAACCCTACCCAGGTTTCATTTCTCAGAGAACAGCGCTCGGATTTACTTTCATCCAGTAGCAATCACTTCTATAAGCAGCTCCGCAGCTGCCTTGCCTTGCCTAGGGAAGTACTGCCGATACTCCAGCAATATTCCCGTTGGTGAGGGGTGGGAGAGGCGCTTGAGGAGCAGGAGCTGATGGCTCGGTGCCCCCAGGCCAGTTCTTTGGTTTTCATTGAGCGTGGGGGGTCCTGAGCCCCCCATCTGGTGGTGGGTGACAGCTCACGCTGCGGATTCGGTGTCTCGGAGAGCTGGGCAGGAGCCGGGGCTCGTAGCAGCGCGTGGAAAATTTCAGGGGTTGCAAACCCACCGCACGCTGGTCCCCGGGATGCGGTTTAACTGGAAGCAGAAATACAGGGTACCTGGTCCTGCTGGCCACAGGGATGGGGCTGGGCTCAGCGCTGCCGGCGAGGAGGCTGTGATGAATTCTCGTCTTATTTTAAAGCACTGTATCCTATTACTGCATGTGGAGTTTGTGTGTGTGCCTGTGCGTGCCGAATGCTTGTGTCGGTAGTTAGAGCGAGTGTGACTGGGAGAAATCCGAGAAGCATGTCTTAGTGTTGTGCTGTAAGTGTTACTGCACAAGAGTTTAACAGATGTTAACACCAAATGACTAGTCTGAGAAATGTACTTTAAAAAAAAAAAATTATTTATTTGGGTTCAGATATTTTTGAAATACAAAAAAAAAATTGGTTGTATTTTTTAAAGCTTATAATTCTTGTCATACATTGTGGTTAAATTCTTAATTTTACCGTGCTTATTAAAAAATGGTTCTACCTAAGTTTTGTGATAATACTGGAAACATGGGCTAGGACGGGACAGTGATCGCAGGAGGGCTGCTGGGGACAAGGCTCAGCCTTGTCAGAGCCTGGGGAGGCTGGAAGGCACGAAAGGAGAGCAGGCTTGTGCGCGCAGAGGGGAATCCGCGAGGCTGAACCCAGGGAGGCTTTTAGCAGCTGGGAAGTCTCTTGTGCGGGTGAACGTGGGCAGGGCTGCCTAAACCTCATCTGCTGCTCCCACAGCCAGCGAGAGCGGGATCAGTCCTGGCTGTGAGGATTACCAGGTAACATCGCATGGTGAAAGGGCTGGTTTCCTCATGGGGGGCCGTGCTCGGGGGTCCTGTGCCCCAAACGGGAGGAAAAAAAAACAAGGAGCTGCCGCTGCTGCGCCACAGCCAGTGCCAGCCGGGAGGGGCTGGGGGAAGGCACTGGGGCATTGGTCTCGGGCTGGGGGTGTGAGCGTGCTGCGATTCCCGGTTCCCCTGCAGCTCCGGGAGCAGGCACGGGTGACTCCCCTTACAGCACAGGCAGCCCCGGGAGCGGGAAGGTCGCTGCAAACGCCTCCACCTCTCTCTTCAGTGCCTTCAGCTCCTCCTGGTATTTCTCCTCCTCCAGTTTCTCCTTGAATTCCTTCAGCGTGGCCTTGGGGCTCATGTCCTTCTGCACGCGCAGCGTCAGCTCGATCCCTGCCAGGATGGGAGATGTAGTGGTCAGTCTTGGCAGCTGCCACACCTCTGCCTGTGCTCCCTGGCGGGTGGGAGGTAAGGAGCAGGGCTGGGGGGGACTTGCTGCCCCAGGAAACCAGTGTGGGACCCCTGAGGACAATTGGAACAAGCCTGCGAAAGGCACAGGCTTTCATCCCACTGCCTGTGCAGCAGGGAGGGTTTGGCTGGTCCCAGCTGTGTCCAGATGTTCTCTCCCACATCCAGATGTGCAGCCAGGACAGTTACTCCTCCCCTCTGTGTGTGCTCCCGTGCCAGCTGCCAGGGAAGCCGCCCAGCTTGGCTCAGCTGGTGCCTCCTCGCCTGGAGCTGCTGCCCTGGCCCCTGGCTGCTGCTGGAGCTGAGGCTTGGTCCCCTGTGTCCCCCCCAGCCTCACCTCTGTGGATGTACTGAGCCACCATGCGGAAATCGTCCTGCCTGAAGCCACGGGAGGTGAGAGCTGGCGTCCCGAACCGCAGGCCACTGGGGCGCAGGGCGCTGACATCGCCTGCACCACAACAAGTCACACGTGACCAAACCAGAACCGAAACCACCAGCAGGGGATTCCAGTTGGGTTCCCAGTGTCCAGGGAGGACCAGGAGCTGGGAGATCTCCAGCATGGGGACAGGGCGCGGCAGAGCGTGTGGGGTCCCTCACCAGGGCATGTGTTCTTGTTGCAGGCGATGGAGCACATCTCCAGCACCCGCTCGGCCCGGCCGCCTCTGTGCCCCTGCTGCGCAGGTCCAGCAGCATCAGGTGGTTGTCGGAGCCCCCTGCAAAGAGAGGGGTTTGGTGGGGGACATGGGATGGGGGTAAACTCTGCTCCCCCATGAAACTTCATCAAAAAAGGCTTGGGATTGCAGGTGCCCCTGGTTTTGAGGGCCAGAAGGATGCCTGCCCTGGGGAAGGGGGGCTGCTTCCAAGCGGTTTTACAGGTGTCCTCAGGAATTGTGACAGCAGAGCCCTGCCTGTCGCATCCATGCACCTGCCACCCTCGTGGCCTTGGCTCGGACCCCAGACGGGGC